AAGTTGTTCCAATAACACAAACTTATAATACATTATAAAGGACTGCGGCGTATGATTATAAAACAACACTTAGTGTCACCGCATAAGTTTCTTTTCTGTGAAAAATCAATATTTATTTCAAAGAGAAATATTTACTATTTCTAACTTTTTGGATGAAGTATGAAAGGGTGAAAATACGAAGAGTAATGGCGAACGGAAAAATAAAAGTGTCCAGGGGTGGGAATCGAACCCACAACGGAACATCGAACCTACCACTGAATATCTTCAACAGACAGATAGAACTATATGTCCTATTTAAGGTTAAGTGTATCGAACAAAAGAGAAATCTCTATCTGAGCTAGATACAAATTCCTCTGTTCACTATGTAGTTTCAGTATAAAATGTTTTTATTATTGCATCTAAGCTTCTTGAAGCTACATACGAGGTCAAGAGCCAATAAACAAATAAAATAATCTTTATATAAAGAGATAAATTAACTTGAGCTTAAATATTCATCGGTTTCTATACTAATGTTGCATTCATTTTTAATATATCTCTTTGTAATATGATGTACTAGATCGTCATCTGTTATCAAAATTCGAAATTATTTTAAAGGTGTAAGATTCTTTTTGAAATTAAACAATTTCTACTGCCCTTACTGGGAGGGTTCACCACTGATGAGCCAGGCCCTCCCAATAATTTTTCCATTGCAGTAAGGGCAGTAGAAATTGTTTAATTTCAAAAAGAATCTTACGCCTTTAAAATAATTTCGAATTTTGATATCTCTTTGTACAAAGTCCGCTTATTTATCTCGAAAAAATACGACAATGCGTTGGTTACCCATATGTTAGAATGAAAGGCGAAAGGTTGGTATGATTTGTATTTTCAGATTTAATAAAAGAGCCATGTGTTGGCCTCCATTCTCTAACACGATAGGTAAGCTCTAAGTGACTTGGTTCACCTACCCTACAACACAGTGAGCTAACCATGAAGTCTACCACGTCCATGATAGATGACAGAAGTCCACAACTCCATTAATTTGAGTTAGGTATTCCCCACTTCCAAGGATTAATGGCTCACACATTTTGATGAATGAAATTTGCCATTTAGACGCTCTCACACAGCACTAGGGTTGATAATGGCCGAATTATGGCACCACGATCCAACTTGGAATCAAACTTCATGGTTACCAAGGCGAAGGTATAACCACGGCTTTAATTAAATATATCAGTACTCAGTAAATATATTTATTATGAGTGAAAGAATGATTATGAATAATATAGTATTGCAAATCAATTATATATTTTATTTAGAATATTCTTAAATGTTTTAACACGTTTACCAACTTATGTTTATTATGGTCTTAGATGAAGATCGATCACCTACGAGGATGTGAAGTCACCTTTTCTCTGTCGGCGTCCTCGAATGAATCATGGCATTAGTTTCTCACATGTGCGCTAAAATCAATGGTGAACGCTTCCTGTAGGTTGTGCCACACCAGATCAAGTAATTTATTAAACTGTTTGGGTTATGTACTGTGCAATTTTGAAAAGATTAGGGATTTTAAAAGGATGGGGGGGCTCATCTGGATTAGGCTTAGCTTAGGCAATCATCTTTGAAACGCTTCTGACCTATTTAGCCCCGAAAATTTTCAATTCAATTATATTATATTGAGAGGCTACAAAGAAAAATAATTTTCAACTGTTCCCACCTGTCTTTAAAATTGTAAATCTTATTAAAAATAAACGTGTAAAGTGTAAAAACACCAAACATTTCAGTACTAGAAAGACAGAAAAAAAAAACGAGATTAAACAAATTCATATAGCAATATTGTATATATAAATATCTTTAATCAAAACAATAAATGGATTTAACATATGTTTTTGAACGATGTTTCAGTGTTGGTGATTGATCGTTTTTTTTTTGTGAAAATCATTAATTGTTAAAAGTGCTCAGAAAAATTAGTTATATTCTGTATTATTAATTAGGTGAAGAGTTTAGTAAAAGTTTAAAATAAGAGGGGCTAAATCCTTTTCTAATTGCACAGAATGTAAAATTGAAGAAGCGATTCCCAAGAATATATAAACTGAAATGTATGAGGATGGACAAAAGCATTCTATATGAGGAACAGAAGAAAGTACTCAACTGACTTAAAGAACATGATCTCCAGGATTTGGTCTGACAGGTTAAAAGATAAGGAATAAAGTAGAAGAGTTGGTTAGGATCGAAGCGCTAAACAAGGCCGTGTGTCCAGAACGCCCCTACCTGCTGGGCGAACCAGAGCACCAGACGGCCCTGGTAGGGGACGACGTTACGTTCCGGTGCCAGGTTGGCGGGGACCCCCTGCCCCTTGTCACCTGGCAGAAACAGCAGGGAAAGCTGCCCACCTCCAGGTAAGTGCCTAGCGATAACGATCTGTTTCATGAACCAATTTCTCACAGTGAATTTCATTTGTATAAAAATACCATAAACTCCTTCACTGAAAGGCTGAAAATGGATTAATATTGGCCTATCGTATCCAAAGAGATTGTCTGAATTGTAATTTAATGTATTGAGAAAGGACGAATCTAGAGCAACGACGAATATCTTTTTAATGAAATTTGTTGAACTGCTATGAGGGCTGGTTTCCCAATGATTGTGCACAAGGTTAATTATTTCAAGTATAGAAAACTTCTGAGCGTATCTTGGGCACATCCTGCGTCAAATTATGCGGACAAATGCCCTCACCTTTGGCACAGTAAAATGAATATTGATACGCTGATTAATAGCTAAATTACTAAACTTTCTAACAAGTAATTATAGAAAACCATAATATGCACTCTTATATCTAAAAACAATGTTTTTATATATATTTTTAGTTATAATGTTTAATAATTGATTTATTAAGTATATATTTATTGTCTCTAACCTAATGTTTATGTTCAAGATGAATATATTTTCACCGATTCTGTATGGATATCGTTTGCAACTATTCATGTCACATTGCTATTCACAGGATCATGTGTCGATCTATCGATACATTCAGAAATTCAAAACTTTGTTTTATCGCATAGATTTTCAGTCAAAACCTAAAAGAAAACTCTTAAAACTAATCACTGACATATCAACTTCCTTATTTTTATCAATATACTATTGACTTTATTCATCTACTTTCGTCTAAATATAAGTTAGATACGAGATAAAGAGTTCTAATCTATTCAAACAATGAAATCACAACAATAATATAGATAAATATGTTAATGCTATCAATGAAAACAAATGATAGTTGCATCTCTGCAGACGATCTATCCATTGATTAGAAGTTATCCACTCAACTTTAAGTCTGAAATCAGAGCCATTTGAAAAGATTGAAACGTCTGAGTTAGTTATCTTGAATTTCCCTTGAGAAAAATGGCTCAATAAATCTCCAGATAATGGAGGCTCTTAATTTGTTTTGGCACAACAGCAGTTTATTTATGGCAAGCCAGGTGTTATTGATCAGCCGTGGCTGTTACCAAGCAGCGCTAATCGCGCCCGCGCTGAACGCGCTTGACGTATCGGCCAATCAAACGTTTGGGCTGAAGATTTACGGCCGCCCCCTCCTGCAAGTCATTTAGCCTGTGTGTCGTCTTATTTACCGAGACTAATACGGCTGCTAAATATTGGTTTTTGTTCTTCAGGTAGCTCTCTAATATGCTATCAAGTAATCCAACCTTGGACATTACATTTTTTCAGATTATTGATTTTTGCGAAAGTGCAGTATAAACCTGATATTACCTGAGACTTATTGATTGGTTGGATATATTACGGAATACATTGCGCTGAAGATATTGTTCTCCCTTCACCTAGAGCTATTCATCACATTTTTAGAAGTTTCCTGAAAATGGCGAGACCCTTAGGGAGTAAGTTATAGACGAGGTGGGCCAGAGATTTTTGAAATAATTTTTTGAGAATTTTATTTCAATTTAATTTTTATTTAAATTTCAAATTTTTAAAATTGTATATGAACTATTCAGTTTTGGGGGAGGATACTTAATTTTCTTATATACATTCCCCTCTCTCATAAATCACTTATTAACAATAATGATTAGATGAAATAAAATGATACATTGGATTAGAAGCTATGAATAAATAAAAAGAAGAGCTCAAGATGTAGATAAGCATATTAGAACCTGCTAAAGTGTAGTGGATACGATGAAACATTATCTATTTATTATTAATATATCATGAATAATGAAAAATATATCTTTATTTTCTCAATGATCTTGTCGAGGTTTTCATCTTGCATCTCCACATCCCTTTATCCAGGAGAAAGGGGAAGCTGCTATTGCTATAAGATCTGCTAATTCTTTTCAATACGAATTTTCAAGAATAAGAATGTTATATTGCAGTAAAGTTGCTAAGAAAAAAATATATCAGAATGAATTTTCTGATTATTAAAGTGATTTCTCTCTTATATTGCTATTAGGGTGGTTAACAATGTATATTAATGCATAAATTTAGATATTTATTTTGGTCTGTCCCTGCAGAATATTGCGACTTTCTTTGACGCTGGTTGGTCTATAAAATCTTTCTGACGGCTAGTTAAGCGGTCAATATCCGACACTCGATAGAAAACAACCGACATGTGTTTGAACACAAAACATAACTAACCCAACCAACAAAAACTACATCGAATAATCGATTTGTATTTAGTTGGAACAGTTTGTAACTTCGATAAATAAAGTTTCAAGAAAGGAAAAGTTATTTTCTCAAGAAATCCTAGTAATATTGAGATTATAATTTTTTGTTTTTAGATTGTGTTATTGATTATTTATATTTCGAATGAAGTGACTTTAATAGGGCGAGGGCGTAAGTTATCTCTTTGAAAGAAAGTATTTTTGTTTATCATCGGAACTATTTTTTTTATTAAGCGCCTTACGTACGTAAGCAATACCTAGGCTTACTTCAATGACTAGATAGGAGAGCCTGTTTATTTCCTCTCTGTTTTTAAATATTATTTATTTTGGCACATTTCCACACAGAGACCACGTTGAAATTCTTCTTTAAACCACGAATCGAACCCGGGGCGCCCGCGTGGCAGGCGAGCATTCTACCACTGAACCAAAAGCAAACGGTGACAGAATTGTTGATGACTCTGATACTTGTATATTTTAATAATCCAAATTGTGACTTATCCTTGGATTTGGTCTTATTACCTTGTATTTATAATCTATAATCCAAATTGTACCTTATCCTTGGATTTGGTCTTATTACCTTGTGTTTATAATCTATAAACCAAATTGTGCCTTAGCGGCCGTGAATCGAACCCGGGGCGCCCGCGTGGCAGGCGAGCATTCTACCACTGAACCACCGATGCTTATAAAAAATGGCCATATTTGGGTATTTATTCCATTCACAAAAGCAAACGGTTCTTAATATTCTGAAATCATTACAAAATGACATATTGCTTTCATGTTTGCATCAGTTTTTAAATTCACCTATTTGACATGCGCGCACTACATATGTCTAAATATCAATTCTCACGTGTCTTTTTAGGTGTTCAAGGTTGAAATAATAAAGTCTATATTAAAAAATAGGGCTTCTATCTATATATAGAGATAAATAATATTTTGAACAACTTTTAAAATAAATAAGAAATCAGTTATCATATTCTAAAACTAAGAGTATATTATGAATTTACTTCATCTTATATATAGCATGAGATTATAAAAATAAAAAATATATAATTTGACCAACTGAATACTTTCATTCGGATTTATATTTCAAAGGGCCGGTATTTTGTTCTTTTAAAGTAATTTTACTATGTTTGAAAAGCCAAAAAAAAAAAATTTCAGATAATGTTAACATAATTATTTTCTTTGTTTTGGCTATACTTCCAATTAACATCATATTAACCCTTATAATACCTTATCAGAAATTTCGAGGTGAATAACCTAAAAAGCCAAATATAGAAGCCCATTTAAAAATTGCCAATGTTTTAAATAAAATTATATGCAGTGAAATACCTAATTACCATATTTGAACGACCCATATGATGAGTGACCATCGTTGTAAAATTAAACCCAAATGGCAACCTGATATAACCCAACCTCCAATGAGAGACCACCTCCAGAAGCAACCATGTATTTAGGTTAGGATACAGCATAGTAAGCTGAAAGGAACCGGTCACTAAAGCCTAATTCGAAGACACATGTTGAGAACTTAACCAAGAGGGGGGGCTGGTGGCGAGCATAAAACACCATCGCATAGAATTTTATTTAATTTCCATCAAAGTTTATATGGAAATAACAATGTCGGAAGTTTATATATAATAGGGAATGTATATAGCAAGTATACATATGATCTGGCATAGGTGTTATTAAGTCTAAGATTGTTAAAGGTGTTATGTCATCGCAGGGCCCATCTGGTCGCCGAGCACAGTCTACAGATCAAGTCTGTGACGCCCCACGACGCCGGAGTCTACATATGCGAGGCGGAGAACCCTGTCGGGGTGGTATCGGCTTCCGCAACCCTCACTGTGCACTGTAAGCATTACTTACCTACCTACAAACTCTATACCTCTGTATCCTGACTTGAGGTAAGCTCAGTTAACTCATTACACTCTAGTACTGACTTCACTCACCGTCTGTTTCTTTTAGGACATTGTAAAAAACGGATCATTAATAACAATAGTGATTAAATATTTCTGAAAAAAATATTTTCTTTATTGTTTTTTTTTTGCTTATCCCTAGTATACGCGGTACAGACCATGATAATCATGGTGGGTAGAAGTATGGAACGCTTCACGATTTTGCGTGTCATCCTTGCGCAGGGGCCATGCTAATCTTCTCTGTATCGTTCCAATTTTAGTATATGTACCGCCGAACAAGCGTGGTGGGTAGAAGTAGGCGACTACTTTTACTGTAAGTGCACCACATGTATACAAATATTAAAAGCAGTTCGACTTTGCACTTAAAAATGTGCCAGAGCCCCGTTTAATTACTTGCACTTGCAGGTGGAGTTGGACCTTTTGCATTATTATTAGAATTATTATTGTTTTGGAAAAATATAGTAATCAATATTTAAGTCATAGGTAATAAAAAGGCATATATTGAATTGAATAAAAATATTGGCAAGTAAATCTCTTTATTCAATCCATTATATGCCTTTTTATTACCTGAAGATTTGAATTTATTTATCGTCATGTCACTTAGATATTTATATCAATATTTTAATAGAAACATATATTGTAAAAGTGCGGGAGATGGTATTATTGTGCAATAAAAGCGCATCTTATTCTAATGATTGAGATAGTTTAAAAAAAATTACTAAATCCGTCTATTTTTGAATGATCTTTGTACGGAACGCGCAAATTCAGATTAAAGAATAAGCCACAACACCCACTGGACTCATTTACTAAATGTGTTTTTAGCGCATTTATTAAATGGAAGAGATGCCTTATTGCCACTCCATTCTTCCGCATTTTTACGACCTATTATGGCCTAATATTGGCCTTACAACTTCACCAGCTAAACAGCCTCCTGAGTATATTTCATAACGCCTCCTTGTAAGATGTAAGGGAATCGAAGCATCAATAAAGGTCATAGCTCCATGGCATACAGATTAACTATTGTTCTAATTTTTCGAAGCGAGGGTCATTTGGGTCATTCTTTTATCTATATTTGCGCGTTCTGCGCTAAGATTTAATAAATACATTCACGCCAGCGCCTTTATTAATTGATAAAATGCGTTTATTGCACATTCATGCACATATACATACGTACATATGCACTCTTTCTGGGGTATGTAGCTCACAGGAGGACAGCTCGGCTGTGGCACGGGTAGTCTCTCGCGAAGACAATCTTTACCTTTCCTAGCTGTCTGGCTTCTTTTCTCGATTCACTGTATTTAATGTTAAACTTCCTATTCCATACTGCTCTTCTCACCTGACGCTACATGTGCAGGTAAAAAATATAGAGTGCATATATGCACACGATGCATAAAGCATTATGCGGTTAAAATAAAGTACATAAGAAGTGAGCGAACATTAAGTAAGGAAATAAATTCTACGCGCCCTGGGTTATTCGCACTTTTGATTAGCTAGCCTTGCAAAAATTCATTCCGTTCAAATATCTTATATTTTCCCGGATACATGACGGGCTAATATTGTGGTACAAGTTTATTAGCGTTTTTTAGAGCCTAGGGGCTTGAACCCCTTCCCTGGTCAAGCCATTCATTAGATATGTAAATGATCCGAGACCCGCGGCTTGCCTTCTTTTAAAATAATAATTTGAACTGTCTCCAGGAAACCAACAATTGGACAGGAAGGAAAGGTGACAAACAGGTTTTTCTGTCTGTAAAAGAGAACAAAATATGTACCGCGGGTCAGGGGAAAGTAAAATGATCTAAAAGAGAACAAATAATATTATGAATCAACAGGGTGGTGAAATAATATAAAATAGAATAAATGAAAGAATTAATCGTTTTAGTAATGAACCAAAAATAATGTGAAGGAGAACAAAGAATGTACCTGATCAGGATGGGAAAATTATATAAAAGAAAACAAAGTGAAAATTTGAGAGAAAGGCATCTTCTGATCGTGCAAATAAAAGTTGCCTTTAGCTTGTGCCATCTGGCGGGATAAATATAACTAATTGTTGATTTTTATTTCTTCAAATAAAAGACACTTCGGCCAGTGAATCTTTTTATTGTCTCGACGTTTCGACAAAAATCTTTTGTCCTCGTCAGGAGCGAACAAAAATTAAAACATTTGGCAAAGCGTTAGAAATTATTCAAAGAATTTGAATAAATATGAATGCCGGCCAGGCAGCCTCTATCTTTACGATGTTGATTTTTAATTATTCCAACGGCCATTTTAGTTTCATGATCAATATATGTCTTTCTTTTGATTAATCAACTTGATATTGGTACAATTTTACTTTTATACTATTTTTCATGAAGTAAAAAAAAAAGGTTCCGATTCAGGGAAGTTATATTATGAAAAAGAAAACAAAGAATCAAAATAGTAAAGTGAAGTAAAGAGAACAATGAATATTCCAGGTTAGAATGATAAAATAAACCTTCACCTCGAGTGCGACCATCTCTTTTAAAATTAAAAAAGACCTGATCTAATCTAAAAGATCCGGAGCATCTATATTTGTGTCGGTTAGTCTTTTATATATGGTATATATATATTCTTTACGGGTCATGGTAACTTCAAATCATACCTCTTCAGAATTAGAAAAATAGATTCGCCCAGATGCTCTTGTGGAGCGGAAGAAGAAACCCCCGAACACATTCTGAACTCATGCCCACTGGTGTGAAACTTAAGACAGCAGAACAAAATGGAAAGAACCTATCTGGGTCAAATAGTTTATAATAGGGAAAGATACACGAAATTTAATAGGTTCTGTAGACTTTTTATTATAAATAGACAGCTTCATGCAGCTTGAGGAACTACACTACTATGCGACTTGATTTACATCGATGTAAATAATTAATAAGTTACTTTAGAACATAACTCATTGTAAATAGCTCAACTTGATCAACTTTCTCTCTCCACGATACTAATTATTACAGATAACTTCATTAAATCAACTTCCATCATTGCTTAACATACTGTAAATAACTACCTTGCGATTTCTTCTATCTTCTTATGTTGTTGCTTATTTGTTTAATGTATATGTTTATTCAATGCTCTTTTTCTTAATTGTTTATTTTCTTTTTAATAATTCTGTTACCTACTCTACTACAATATGAATTATTGTAAATAGTTTCACGCGCAATTATCCAGATCGGATATAACGTGTCTTGTTTGCAACTGTTAAATAAATATATATTATAAATTTGGGTTTTTATTATTAAATAAAAGTTGTTTCGAACAATATATATATATGGGACTGAGTTCGGGTATCTCCAGCGCGGCCCCAGTTTACTGTGCGACCCCCGGAAGAGACCCGGGTGGGCCTGGGCGCTATCGTGCGGTTGGAGTGCACGGCGACCGGCAGCCCGGTCCCAACGGTGTTCTGGAGCAAGGAGGGCGACCAGGCGCTGATGTTCCCCGGGCGCACCTATGGCAGGCTTTCGGTAGCGGCGGACGGTTCCCTGGCCATCACGGGGGCCCGGCGG